CAGAGACCATGAGGACACACACATCAACCACAGAGACCATGAGGACACACACCAGCCACAGAGACCATGGGGACACACACACCAGCCACAGAGACCATGAAGACACACTCCAGCCACAGAGACCATGAGGACACACACACCAGCCACAGAGACCATGAGGACAAACACACCAGCCGCAGAGACCATGAAGACACACACACCAGCCACAGAGACCATGAGGACACACACACCAGCCACAGAGACCATGAGGACACACACACCAGCCACAGAGACCATGAGGACACACACATCAGCCACAGAGACCATGAGGACACACACATCAACCACAGAGACCATGAGGACACACACACCAGCCACAGAGACCATGAAGACACACACACACCAGCCACAGAGACCATGAGGACACACACAACAGCCACAGAGACCATGAAGACACACACACACAAGCCACAGAGACCATGAGGACACACACACCAGCCACAGAGACCATGAAGACACACACACCAGCCACAGAGACCATGAGGACCCACACATCAGCCACAGAGACCATGAGGACACACACATCAACCACAGAGACCATGAGGACACACACCAGCCACAGAGACCATGGGGACACACACACCAGCCACAGAGACCATGAGGACACACACACCACCCACAGAGACCATGAGGACACACACTCCAGCCACAGAGACCATGAGGACACACACACCAGCCACAGAGACCATGAGGACACACACACCAGCCGCAGAGACCATGAAGACACACACACCAGCCACAGAGACCATGAGGACCCACACATCAGCCACAGAGACCATGAGGACACACACATCAACCACAGAGACCATGAGGACACACACCAGCCACAGAGACCATGGGGACACAAACACCAGCCACAGAGACCATGAAGACACACACACCAGCCACAGAGACCATGGGGACACACACACCAGCCACAGAGACCATGAGGACACACACACCACCCACAGAGACCATGAGGACACACACTCCAGCCACAGAGACCATGAGGACACACACACCAGCCACAGAGACCATGAGGACACACACACCAGCCGCAGAGACCATGAAGACACACACACCAGCCACAGAGACCATGAGGACACACACACCAGCCACAGAGACCATGAGGACACACACACCAGCCACAGAGACCATGAAGACACACACACACAAGCCACAGTGACCATGAGGACACACACATCAGCCACAGAGACCATGAAGACACACACACCAGCCACAGAGACCATGAAGACACACACACCAGCCACAGAGACCATGAGGACACACACACATCAGCCACAGAGACCATGAGGACACACACACCAGCCACAGAGACCATGAAGACACACACACCAGCCACAGAGACCATGAGGACCCACACATCAGCCACAGAGACCATGAGGACACACACATCAACCACAGAGACCATGGGGACACACACACCAGCCACAGAGACCATGAAGACACACACCACCCACAGAGACCATGAGGACACACACACCACCCACAGAGACCATGAGGACACACACTCCAGCCACAGAGACCATGAGGACACACACACCAGCCACAGAGACCATGAGGACACACACACCAGCCGCAGAGACCATGAAGACACACACACCAGCCACAGAGACCATGAGGACACACACACCAGCCACAGAGACCATGAGGACACACACATCAGCCACAGAGACCATGAGGACACACACATCAACCACAGAGACCATGAGGACACACATACCAGCCACAGAGACCATGAAGACACACACACACCACCCACAGAGACCATGAGGACACACACATCAGCCACAGAGACCATGAGGACACACACAACAGCCACAGAGACCATGAAGACACACACACACAAGCCACAGAGACCATGAGGACACACACATCAGCCACAGAGACCATGAGGACACACACAACAGCCACAGAGACCATGAAGACACACACACACAAGCCACAGAGACCATGAGGACACACACATCAGCCACAGAGACCATGAGGACCCACACATCAGCCACAGAGACCATGAGGAAACACACACACCAGCCACAGAGACCATGGGGACACAGGCACCAGCCACAGAGACCATGAGGACACACACATCAGCAACAGAGACCATGAGGACACAGGCACCAGCCACAGAGACCATGAGGACACACACACCAGCCACAGAGACCATGAGGACACACACACCAGCCACAGAGACCATGAGGACACACACAACAGCCACAGAGACCATGAGGACACACACACCAGCCACAGAGACCATGAGGACACACACATCAACCACAGAGACCATGAGGACACACACACCAGCCACAGAGACCATGAGGACACACACATCAGCCACAGAGACCATGAGGACACACACAACAGCCACAGAAACCATGGGGACACACACACCACCCACAGAGACCATGAGGACACACACACCAGCCACAGAGACCATGGGGACACACACACCAGCCACAGAGACCATGAGGACACACACACCAGCCACAGAGACCATGAGGACACACACACCAGCCACAGAGACCATGGGGACACACACACCAGCCACAGAGACCATGAGGACACACACACCAGCCACAGAGACCATGAGGACACACACACCAGCCACAGAGACCATGAGGAAACACACACACCAGCCACAGAGACCATGGGGACACAGGCACCAGCCACAGAGACCATGAGGACACACACATCAGCGACAGAGACCATGAGGACACAGGCACCAGCCACAGAGACCATGAGGACACACACAACAGCCACAGAGACCATGAGGACACAGGCACCAGCCACAGAGACCATGAGGACACACACACCAGCCACAGAGACCATGAGGACACACACACCAGCCACAGAGACCATGAGGACACACACACCAGCCACAGAGACCATGGGGACACACACACCAGCCACAGAGACCATGAGGACACACACACCAGCCACAGAGACCATGAGGACACACACACCAGCCGCAGAGACCATGAGGACACACACACAGCCACAGAGACCATGAGGACACACACACCAGCCACAGAGACCATGAGGACACACACACCAGCCACAGAGACCATGAGGACACACACAACAGCCACAGAGACCATGGGGACACACACACCACCCACAGAGACCATGAGGACACACACACCAGCCACAGAGACCATGGGGACACACACACCAGCCACAGAGACCATGAGGACACACACACCAGCCACAGAGACCATGAGGAAACACACACCAGCCACAGAGACCATGGGGACACACACACCAGCCACAGAGAACATGAGGACACACACACCAGCCACAGAGACCATGAGGACACACACACCAGCCACAGAGACCATGAGGAAACACACACACCAGCCACAGAGACCATGGGGACACAGGCACCAGCCACAGAGACCATGAGGACACACACATCAGCGACAGAGACCATGAGGACACAGGCACCAGCCACAGAGACCATGAGGACACACACACCAGCCACAGAGACCATGAGGACACACACACCAGCCACAGAGACCATGAGGACACACACAACAGCCACAGAGACCATGAGGACACACACACCAGCCACAGAGACCATGAGGACACACACATCAACCACAGAGACCATGAGGACACACACACCAGCCACAGAGACCATGAGGACACACACATCAGCCACAGAGACCATGAGGACACACACAACAGCCACAGAAACCATGGGGACACACACACCACCCACAGAGACCATGAGGACACACACACCAGCCACAGAGACCATGGGGACACACACACCAGCCACAGAGACCATGAGGACACACACACCAGCCACAGAGACCATGAGGACACACACACCAGCCACAGAGACCATGGGGACACACACACCAGCCACAGAGACCATGAGGACACACACACCAGCCACAGAGACCATGAGGACACACACACCAGCCACAGAGACCATGAGGAAACACACACACCAGCCACAGAGACCATGGGGACACAGGCACCAGCCACAGAGACCATGAGGACACACACATCAGCGACAGAGACCATGAGGACACAGGCACCAGCCACAGAGACCATGAGGACACACACACCAGCCACAGAGACCATGAGGACACACACAACAGCCACAGAGACCATGAGGACACAGGCACCAGCCACAGAGACCATGAGGACACACACACCAGCCACAGAGACCATGAGGACACACACACCAGCCACAGAGACCATGAGGACACACACAACAGCCACAGAGACCATGAGGACACACACACCAGCCACAGAGACCATGAGGACACACACATCAACCACAGAGACCATGAGGACACACACACCAGCCACAGAGACCATGAGGACACACACATCAGCCACAGAGACCATGAGGACACACACAACAGCCACAGAGACCATGGGGACACACACACCACCCACAGAGACCATGAGGACACACACACCAGCCACAGAGACCATGGGGACACACACACCAGCCACAGAGACCATGAGGACACACACACCAGCCACAGAGACCATGAGGACACACACACCAGCCACAGAGCCATGGGGACACACACACCAGCCACAGAGACCATGAGGACACACACACCAGCCACAGAGACCATGAGGACACACACACCAGCCACAGAGACCATGAGGAAACACACACACCAGCCACAGAGACCATGGGGACACAGGCACCAGCCACAGAGACCATGAGGACACACACATCAGCGACAGAGACCATGAGGACACAGGCACCAGCCACAGAGACCATGAGGACACACACAACAGCCACAGAGACCATGAGGACACACACACCAGCCACAGAGACCATGAGGACACACACATCAACCACAGAGACCATGAGGACACACACACCAGCCACAGAGACCATGAAGACACACACACCAGCCACAGAGACCATGAGGACACACACACCAGCCACAGAGACCATGGGGACACACACACCAGCCACAGACACCATGGGGACACACACACCAGCCACAGAGACCATGGAGACACACACCAGCCGCAGAGACCATGAAGACACACACACCAGCCACAGAGACCATGGGGACACAGGCACCAGCCACAGAGACCATGAGGACACACACACCAGCCACAGACACCATGGGGACACACACACCAGCCACAGAGACCATGAGGACACACACACCAGCCACAGAGACCATGGGGACACACACACCAGCCGCAGAGACCATGAAGACACACACACCAGCCACAGAGACCATGGGGACACAGGCACCAGCCACAGAGACCATGAGGACACACACACCAGCCGCAGAGACCATGAGGACAAAAGCACCAGGCACAGAGACCATGAGGACACACACACCAGCTACAGAGACCATGAGGACACACACAACAGCCACAGAGACCATGAGGACACACACACCAGCCACAGAGACCATGAGGACACACACACCAGCCACAGAGACATGAGGACACACACAACAGCCACCAATCCAGACATGAAAAGTATTGACTGACAAAATATGATCCAAATTATCGTTTCAATTAGATAAATGCAAGTTCCCAACAGAATGAAACACATTACTAGACCCCCAGAGCCAACATGTGCGTAAATAATTCATTAGCGTAGCAAAGATTAGCTCCCAAAATAGTACACTACGATGAGCTGTTTCCAAATTTAGGTTAGTGGGACAGACAGCCATCTTGTCTGATCGGCGGCTCCCGTGGGTGCTGCGTGTTCGGCTTCAAAGCTCCGCTGCTCTCATCAGTTTAGACTCATACAGACACGTTTATGAGTCTAACCACAAGACGGCATCAAAGGAGCCGAGCTATAGCGGATTCTTTTGTGTGTGTGAACTACATTAGAATAGATTTGTGCAATGCATTTGTCTGAGTATGATCAAAAGTATCGTAGTGGAATCATGAGGTTTGACTTTTGAAACAGCAGCAAGTTATCAGTGTCTCGGAAACAGTTTTTTGTTTTACAATTGATCTTTTTAATGCTTTTTTCTACCTGCGATGTTGCTGCAGTACAGTGTTCATGGTTTTACACTGGTCCGGACCGGAGCGGAGGGGATTCATGGTCCGAACCAAGCGGATCAGGCAAAAATCTATCTGAAGCGCTGCTGCTTAATATTACTTCTTGTATTTTTCATTTCTGCTGCTACTGGACACCTGAATTTCCTCTACGGGTGATCAATAAAGTATCTATCTATCTATGTGTGTGGACTGTTTAAATACGAGCGATTTCCAAAAGCAGATATGAAGAATCAAACATCTTCCAAACTCAGAATGATCCTGTTCCTTTTGATTCACAAGATAATGAAAATAATGAAACCATCATAAAAACATAAATCATCATAAATGTAAGAATAACATGCTTTTCCCTTTTACAAACTGTAATATATTTTTTCAACACAGTCCTGCATTGTAAAAAGTGGTGAATAATAAGTCAAAAATTGCTAGAATTTGACTAAATGTATCTCAATATACAGTAAGCACATTCTTCCTTAAAACAAAAAAAATACAAGAAATGGGAGAAAATGGAATTAGAAAATAAACAGTTATTGAAATAAGACTATATGCTTTTGTCTCATTGGCAAATCTTGTTTTTAGACTGTAAAAATGTGCTCAAATAAGATTAAAACCACTCGTTTCAAGCCAGTATTACCTCACATTGTAAATTATTTTGCCGTGTTGAAGGAAGACAAGAACCAGACGACGAACAACCAAAGTTACCCGCAGGAAAGACAAACAGACATTACCTCATTTTACAACTGATGGTGTCTGTCTGTGTTGTCTGTCTGTGTCAGTCTTGTGTTGCACAGTTTGTAAAAGCCTAAACAGAAACGCTTATTGAGAATTTGCCTCGGCTAAAATATGTGACATGAGCTCAGCTTCAGTTTGTTTTTGCATTTGCAGTAAAACCACCTTGGAATACATGTGCAAAAGTCCCCAGTATGCACCAGAACAAGTACAGTACATGGAATAAAACAAGCCAAAGTCCAGTAAACAATGGTCACTGTGAAATCATTTACAATACAAATAAAATATATTTAAATTAAGAAATATGTAATTTGGCAAAAAGGGGTTTCCCAAATACTACTTCCCTTTCATAAGAATATATATTATGCATTCTCTACGGGAGACACTGGCTCTGAACGTCATAGAGACATCATAGAGATTTTAGTTTCTACAATTTTTTTTTTTTGTCCCTGTCTCTGCACCTTATTCACTCAGAAGTTCTCTTTGTCTCTCCTTTTCTGTTCCAAGAGTTTGCAAATAAGTTCAACTCAGATTATTTCAATACAAGGCTCCATCAGACTGGAATAAACTCACATCTTTTCGATTCATTATCGCTTTTGGTTCATTTAAGTTGAACTATTTATGTTCCTTAATGCTCTCTGTTTATGTCACTAATGTTGTGTGTTCTGTGTGTGTCATTATTGTTAATAGTTTTACTTTGTCTCTCGCTAAATGTTTAATTTTAGCAGAGGGAGGAGGGGGTGCGAAGGATCATGTGTTTATTTTTTATTTGTGTGTTTATGTATTTATCTTTTCTTACCCTTAATGCTCGGTAAATTCTTTTGTATCTGTGTATGTTTACATATTTGTATTTATGTTTAGGACCCTCTCGAAAATGAGGCTTTCCTTAATAAACGTATACTTGGTGGACGAGCACCTCCGGCTTTTCTTTACCGCAGAGGAAACTTGAATTTAAGGCACTTTTTTCCAGTTGCTCAATAACCAATAGAATGTTGTGTGTGTTCAAATCTCCAAGGAAGGAACACCAAGATATTCATTTACCCTGTTACAATACATTCTAATACAGAATCTCTAAACTCATCTTTCCTGGTCTTTCTCTGTGTCAAAAACGAGGTTTGGTTTTCTTCATCTCTTTCCCTGCTCTCTACCCAACAATAAGTTCCGTTTTGGACGACGGCAGCTCAGCCTCAGGAGGGTCTCTCTCAGTGCGATGACTCCGCTCGTCTGAAACCGGACACAGTTCATCACACGCTTCTAAATAAAGGTCTAGTTTCACTGATTTATTTTTAAGCAATGTTTATTATCAGTTAATAAACTGGTGAGAGATGAGTGAGTATTTCAGCGAACAGTATAAGAACAACTACTATAAACTTTTTAGGATAAGGCAAGGCAAGTTTATTTATTTAGCACAATTCATACACAAGGCAATTCAAAGTGCTGAACAAAACAAGAAAGCATTAAAATCATAAATTATCACAGAACATTAAAAAGAAAGATAAAAATATAAAATCCCTCAGTTGTATGCACAGTTAAACAGAACTGTCTTTAACCTGGTTTTAAACATTGTCAGAGAGGAGGCCTGTCTCACATCTTCAGAAAGACTGTTCCAGATTTTAGCAGCATGAATCTGAAAAGCAGCCTCCCCATGTTTAGTTCTGACTCTGGGCACTAACAGGAGTCCAGTCCCTGTGCTCCTCAGAGTCCGGGCTGGTTCATATGGGACTAACATGTCACTAATATATTTTGGTGCGAGGCTATGGAGAGACTTGTACACAAGCAGAGCTGTTTTAAAGTCTATTCTCTGAGCCACAGGAAGCCAGTGCAGAGACCTCAGGACTGGACTAATGTGGTTGTACTTCCTGGTTCTAGTCAGGACTCGAGCTGCTGCATTTTGAATGTACTGCAGCTGTTTTACAGCCTGTTTGGACAGACCTGTGAGCAGGCCATTGCAGTAGTCTAACCTACTGGAGACAAATGCATGGATAAGAATCTCCAGGTCTGCTTTAGACACTATGTTTTTGATCCTGGCAATGTTTTTTAGATGGTAAAAAGCTGCTGATGTTACTGATTTGATGTGGCTATTAAAATTTAAGTCTGAGTCCAGTATTACCTCTAGATTTCTGACCTTGTTTGAAGGTTTTAGGGAGAGAGACTGTAGGTGACAGATGACGCTCTCTCTTTGTTTTTGGGGACCAAAGACAATCATTTCAGTTTTGTCTGCGTTTAGCCGAAGGAAGTTGTTTTGCATCCACTCACTGATCTGTTGGATACAGTGAAGGAGTGAGTCTACTGGTCCATGTTCTCCTGCAGTCAGTGAGACATAGATCTGAGTGTCGTCTGCATAGTTATGATAGGAAACTTCGTTTCTGCGTATTAACTGACCTAACGGCAGCATGTAGAGATTGAACAGAAGAGGTCCCAGGATCGACCCCTGTGGTACTCCACAGGTCAGGGCCATATGATCTGAGACACAGTTTCCAATCTCCACAAAGTACTTCCTGTCTTCAAGGTAACCCCCCCAAACCAACTTAGGGCGGTGCCAGTGACGCCAACCCAGTCCTCTAGTCTCTGTAAGAGGATCTCATGGTCGACGGTGTCAAAGGCAGCACTTAGATCTAACAAGATTAAGATTGAGACTTTGCCTGCGTCAGTGTTCAGCCGGATATCGTTTGTAACCTTAACGAGAGCAGTCTCAGTGCTGTGGTGGGGTCTAAAGCCGGACTGAAACATATCAAATGAGTTGTTGATTATAAGAAATCTAGTAAGCTGTAGGTAGACAACTTTCTCAAGGACTTTCCCCATAAATGGCAGATTTGAGATGGGACGATAGTTGTTAAGTACCGTAGCATCGAGACTGCTCTTTTTTAGCAGGGGCCTGATGACTGCAGTTTTCAGGGCCTTTGGGAATATTCCAGAATGAAGGGACATGTTTACTATCTGTTGTTTACAGACGACTGAATTTCATTTGCTTCCCGTCCACATTTGGTAGTGGGCCACTGATAACGATTGTTGCGTCCATTTTAGCAAGGTCGTCCAATAAGAGAGAGTAATCCCGTTTCAACTTTTCACTTGTGTTGTCATAGACGTCTACTGCCCCCACGTGGATCAACAATCTTTTTACCCCGCGGGTCTCAGACAGAAGCCTCGGAGCCAACCGCCTTATCTCATCCACTTTGGCAGAGTGTACTGAGTGAACCTTGAGATTACGCATATTTACATTTCTTATCGCCGAATCCCCGATAAAGAGCGACTCAGCTGCATTTGACCTTGACTGAGACTGAGACTGGGACTGAGAGGCTACTGCTGATTCATCTTCCAAAAGTGGTGAAAAGCGGTTTCTTGTAATTAAAGATTTTTGCTGTGGCATTATGACACTCTTGTTATTAGCTTTGCCTTGTTTGGGCTTGGCACCATATGTGTTCCAACAATTGTCTCTGTTGATTTTGGGAAATGAAATAGCGTCATCATAACTTACGTGCTGTCCATTTGGTCCATTTCCTTTCACTGGTATTGTTGTGTTCAGCCCCAATTCTGATTCAAGCACAAACATTCGGTCTTGAAGAAGTTTTAGCTCCTGTTTGAGTGAAAAACAGCCGTCGCAAAGTTTTGTTCTTTTTTCCCGTCCTCCCGACATGCTGTAAGTTAGGTAAATTCCACCAGTCTTGTGTTGAAGTTTGTAAAAAGGAGTAATCCGTGTTTTGTGGAATAAAAATGTAAGCAAAAATGATTAAAGGAGATAAAAAAGCAGCAA